AGACTCTGATTACACAGGTCCAAATCTCACTGAAGAACATGATAGATTTTAAATTCAATTAATAATTCGGCAATATAAACTGAATCTTTGCAATTGTCACCATGAAATATTATCAATTATTGTAAAAACGCATCTGGTTCATCAATGCCCTTCATGGAAGGAAATCTGCTGACCTTACCTGGTCTGGCCTACATGTGACTCCAGACCCACTGCAAGATCTGTTACCTCTGCTCTGAAGTTGTTCAGCAAATCACTCAATTCAAGGGCAATCAGGGATAAACAACATGTGCTGGCCTTTCCAGTAATGCTCATGTCACATGAAAGAATAAAGAATAAAATGGTTCAGCCACTCAACTATAAGACCATAAGACTATAAGACATAGGAGCAGAAATTAGGCCATTCGGCCCATCGAGTCTGCTCCGCCATTCAATCATGGCTAATAAGTTCCTCAACCCCATTCTCCTGCTTTCTCCCCGTAACCCTTGATCTCCTTGATAATCAAGAATCTGTCTATCTCAGTCTTAAATATACTCAATGACCTGGCCTCCACAGCCTTCTGTGGCAGTGAATTCCATAGATTCACCACTCTCTGGCTGAAGAAGTTTCTCCTTATCTCCGTTCTAAAAGGTCTTCCCTTTACTCTAAGGCTGTGCCCTCAGGTCCTAGTCTCTCCTACCAATGGAAGCATCTTCCCAACATCCACTCTGTCCAGGCCATTCAGTATTCTGTAAGCTTCAATTAGATCCCCCCTCATCCTTCTAAACTCCAATGAGTATAATCCCAGAGTCCTCAAACGTTCCTCATATGTTAAGCTTCTCATTCCTGGGACCGTTCGCGTGAACCTCCTCTGAACCTGCTCCAGGGCCAGTACATCCTTCCTGAGATATGGGGCCCAAAACTGTGCACAATACTCCAAATGTGACCTGACCATAAAGCATCGGTGGTACATCCCTGCTTTTATATTCAAGTCCTCTTAAAATAAATGCCAACATTGCATTTGCCTTCCTGGCTACTGACTCAACCTGCAAGTTTACCTTGAGAGAATCTTCGACTAGAATTCCCAAGTCTCTTTGCACTTCAGACTTCTGAATTTTCTCCCCATTTAGAAAATAGTCCAAGCTTTTATTCTTCTTACCAAAGTGCATAACCTCACACTTTCCCACGTTGTATTCCATCTGCCACTTCTTTGCCCCCTCTCCTAACCTGTCCAAATCCTTCTGCAGCCTCCCTACCTCCTCAATACTACCTGTCCCTCCACCCATCTTTGTATCGTCTGCAAACTTAGCCAGAATGCCCACATTTCCTTCATCTAGATCTTTAATGTATAACATGAAAAGTTGTGGTCCCAACACTGACCCTTGCAGAACACACTTGTCACTGGCTGCCATCCTGAGAAAGACCCTTTTATCCCCACTCTCTGCTTTCTGCCAGACAGTCAATCTTCTATCCCTGCTAGCACCTTGCCTCTAACACCGTGGGCCCTTATCTTACTCAGTAGCCTCCTGTGTGGCACCTTGTCAAAGGCCTTCTTGAAGTCCAGGTAGATAACATCCATTGGGTCTCCTTGGTCTAACCTGCTCGTTACTTTCTCAAAGAATTCTAGCAGATTTGTCAGGCATGGCCTCCCCTTGACGAAACCATGCTGACTTTGTCCTATTTTACCACACAGTTCCAAATATTCAGAAATCTCATCCTTCACATGAGAGGCCACTTTTTGTTGATAATTGAGGTGGGTGCAGGAATGCTGTCATTTCACACATGAATGTGTTGTGGAGGCAGATTTCACAGGAACCAGAAGACCCATATCTGACTGTGGTTACTCAGTTGTGTGAAACATGGCATGTACAAGATGGGTCTGGTCAGAACAGGTCTGAAGTTTGTTGATTCATTTGGATAGCTTTAGAGAGGTAAATTGATTCATTGGACCTCTCTAGGACAGTGTGGCCTCATTTAGAATTATTAAAAGAAGGCATGAATGTGCATAAAAAGTACATAAACTCATGAAATATGAAGCTCAACTTTTAACAGACCCATCAAAAGATACTGTCAGAAATGTGAAGGCAATTAAAACTCCAGCCTTTTAAATCTTTGAGCAAGCTGCCTGCAATTTCTTAAAAACACAGTCAATGCTATTTCACTTAACCTGTGTCCTACTGGTCTATTTCTGCTCTTATCTCGTATGTTTATATGTTTGTATCTGTTTGCACCGCACAAGCAAATTCACAGCTTTTTATTATCACTGTCGGCTGCCTGGCATTTCATAGTTTGATGGAGAGTTCTCGGTGGTTAAAAACTCCTTGAACTGGAACTATGATTGCCAATGTTTGTTGCTATAAAGGCTTGTGCAATTTAAGAAAAAAATTATCCAAGATCTTGTAACTGAAATAAATTAAACATAATTGATATTTTTATGAATGCGTGTTTTTAACAATGTAGAGTCTGTAATAGATACTTTGAACTTTACATTCTTTAATCTCAGTACGGTTGGGGTGATCTGCCCATGGTGGATACTGAGTGAGTTGACATTGTAGGTATAAAGGCAAAAGCTATGGTAGGTGTATGGACAATGTTTATTCCTGAAAGGTCCACGTCAAGTTTTTATACCATGTCTTGCCATCTTAAAATCACCAACCAGCAGGGATAATAATGTACAGACATTAAAATTAGAAGGAAGGGTAGGCTGGCTGTATGGAGGCATGAAGTGGCACCAGTTAGACTTGGACCATAGAGGTGTGCAGAGGGATCACGCTTCTATGGTGCGTTTCAGCGATATAGGGGTGTGGATGGAATAGCATAGGTTGCCATTGAATGTATGAGGGCTTACTGAGGTTGGAAGAGGATATAGAGGATAGCGTGGAGTGTATGAGGGGATATGGGTGTGGGGGAAATCATGAGGTGCTACGGATAGGGCATGTGGAGTGTGACTGTGTAGTGGGAGGTGAGGTGGGGGGGGGCGAAGGTAAGAGGACGTGATGTGTCAAGACTTGGAGGGATGCTTTATTTTTCATTATTTAATTTTAAATTTGGACGCAGTGCCAGAACCCTGAAGCAGACCTTCTACCCTGCCTGCCTCCCCTCCTGGCATCCTCTGCACTCTTTCTGGGCTCGTGTAGTTCTATTTCCAGCATCTTATCACCTTTCATGGAAACTCCAACTTCTGGAGCTCTTTCTCCCAAATCAATTTTATGAAGGTGTTCACAGTGAAAATTCTGGCCTTTGTGTCATGACGAAGAACAAGTTGAGAGTCAACATCAACATGACTCTTTTCTGAGACAAAAAAAATGAAATAGTTGGAAAAACTCAGCAGGTCTTGCAGTTTGTGTGGAGAGAAAATGGAGTTAATGTTTTGATTCTTCTTCAGAAGTGATGGTAGCTAGGAAGAGGTTGACATATATGCTGAAGTGGTTGGGAGGGGGAGGAGTAAATGATAGGTGGAGAGATAGCACAGAGAAAGAGAAGGTGAGTGGAGGTAGATATAGGGGAGACGTCAGAGGTAGGTTCTTTACTCAGAGAGTGGTCGGGGTGTGGAATGCATTGCCGGAGAGGGTAGTGGAGTCGGCCTCATTAGGGACATTTAAGCGGCTATTAGATAGGCATATGGATGATAGTATAAGGTAGGGGTGAAGGTTAGATAGACCTTAGGATTAGGGTAAAAGTTCGGCGCAACATTGTGGGCCGAAGGGCCTGTACTGTGCTGTACTGTTCTATGTTCTATGTTCTAAGAATGGTTGGGCAGACAAATGAATGGGTAAAGGTTAACCTATGAGGATGAATAGCTGCTAATGGGGACTATGAGTGGCTGACAATTGTGTGACAGCACCCCATGAGATGATGAAAGGCTTGGTGTGTGGGTGTTGGCCTAAGGACATGGGAGAAGGTGCTCAGGCCTTATTATTGTTGAACTTGACATTGAGTCTGGAAAGCTGCAGGTTCCCCAAACCTGAAAATAAGGTGCTCTTCTTCCAGCTTGCACTGAGCTTTGCTGGAGCTCTGCATCAAGCCCGAGTCAGAGATGTTGGCTAGGGAACAACGTGGTGTGTTGAAGCTCAGGATAATTTTTGTGACAGAATGTAGGTGCTTTACAAAGCGGCTTGTGTTTCACCTCCTCAATGCAGAGGAGACTACATTGTGAGCAATGAATACGACACACTTTTGCTTGTGCTGGTTATGTATTTGAATGATGTTGGTAGACACAGAGTCCGAATATAGAAACCTAATGCAGTGGTATTGAATCTTTTATGTCCTTACTGCTTATAATTATGTGGAAAATAGTTAGATTACAAGTAGATTTTGACCAACAATAGTTATGTAAATCATAACTGCCAAGTAGACAGCTGATGAAGCTGCATAATGAAAAAATGCTGATACTTTTATTCCCTCCAGTTCTAAACAGTCCAATGATCTCCTGCTTGTACTCCCACCTTCCATTCTCTGTCACTCACTCTAAAACTCTGCTCCCCATATCTAACTTGTACAGGATCCCAAACCCCACTCCTTGTTAACCTGCATTTCCTCTTGGTGCAATAATACTTCAAATTTAACATGTTTGTGTTCATGTTCTTCTGTTACTTCACCTCCCCTCATCTTCAAACCCTCCTTCCATCTTTACAGTTCTCACTACTCTCCCTCAAAAGGCTACGGTTGCCTCGGGAACAGAAGTGTCCTTGACTGAGGTTGATAGAATAATGTTGGGTAAGAGTATCAAGGATTCAGAGAGAAGGTAAGTAAATAGAGTTGAGATATAAGGTCACACATTTTTCAAATTGGAAGGTGAAAAGGCTCGAGGAGTTGAATGGCCCATTCCTGCTCCTTATGAAGAAAATCAGTCTGAGGTCGCAATTTTTTTTGTATCTCAGTGGGGATGAGAAAAAGTGACACAAAGAAATGATGGGCTGAAGAGCAGATCTATAAATAAAGCATTTTTAAAAAGTTAATGATGTAAAAAGTGCAGTGCTGTGGTTAGAGTTGGCAGCACTAATGTCCTGCAGGGCTAACTTACCTTGAATGATATCTCATACTGTTCTCCTCCCCAGATTTCCAGTCCTGAATCATAGCCACCCAGTTCCCAGAACCATCGCTGATCAACAGCAAACAAGCCACCCGCCATAACAGGAGATCTGAAAGACAAAACAAAGCTAAATACCATGTATTAATGCTTCCATTTAGACTTTGTCAAGGATCACGCAATAGAAAATCATTGAAGTAAACCCACAATTACAGAATTGTTACAATGCCAGAAGGAGGCCGCTTGGCCCATTGTATCTGCATGGGCTCTTCAAATAAATATCATTACCTCGTGCCAATGCCCTGCTTTTTCATCATTCCCTTGCCCATTTTTCCCATCCAACTAATTGTCCAATGCTCATTTGACTGTCTCAATTGAATCTGCCTGTACCACATTCCAGGCAGTGCATTCCACAACCCGACTACTCGCTGAGTGAAAAGGTCTCATTTTCGCATCACATTTGCTCATTTCCCTCAGAGGGTTGGGACTCTTTGGAATTCCCTGCATTAAAAGCTCACGGATGCAGAATCTTTAAATATTTTTTAAGACAGAGCTACATCGATTCTTGATTTCGAAGGAGGTGAAAGATTACCAGGGATATACAGAAATATAGAGTAGAGGTTAAAATCAGATCAGCCATAATTGTACTGAATGGCAAAACAGGTTTGAAGGACGAAGCAGCTTATTCTTGTTCTTTGTTTGTATGTTTGTATGTTCCTTTTGAAAATCACTTTAAATCTATGTCCTCTCATTCTTGTTTCATTTACAAGTGGGAACAGTTTCTCCCTATCTATTCAAATCAGCTCACTCATGATTTTGAAAACCTCCATCAGATCTAGTGCTGCTTTGTTAACTATAACATTAGCTGTGAATAAAGGAGTCTGTATGAGTAAAACATCAGTCTGGACGTAGATGTAGGAATTTAACACAGAAACATAGAAGATAGGTTCAGGAGTAGGCCTTCGAGCCTGCACCACCATTCATCATGATCATAGCTAATCATGCAATCTCAGTATTCCATTCCTGCTGTCTCCCCGTACCCCTTGATCCCTTTAGCCACAAGGACCACATCCAGCTCCCTCTTGTATATATCTAATGAACTGGCCCCAACAGCTTCTTGTGGGAGAGAATTCCACAAGGTCACAACTCTCTGAGTGAAGAAATTCTTCCTCATCTCAGTCCTCACGCCTTATTCTTAGACTGTGACCCTAAGTTCTGGACTTCCCAACATCAGGAATATTCTTCCTGCATCTAGCCTGGCTAATACCATCAGCATTTTGTACGTTTCTGTGAGATCACCCCTCATTCTTCTAAATCCCAGTGAATACAAGCCCAGTTGATCCAATCTTTCTTCATATGTCAGTCCTGCCATCCCAGGAATCAGTCTGGTGAGTCTTCACTGGACTCTCTCAATAGCAAGAATGTTGAAAATATCTATTCTTGTAGGGATTTAGATGGTGCGCTGCTCTCCATGAGGGATACTTTGAAGTCAACACGGTGTAGATTTACCAAAGTTGTACTTACACTCCAAAGGTTAAACTACAAGGAGGGATGTATTCCCTGGAATTTAGAAGCTTAAGGCATGGATTCTATCCAAGTTTTCAAGATATCTAGCCGAACAGATAGGGCAGAGTGAGAGAAATTATCGAGCAGAAATTGTGGAAAAATAGAGTCAGCCTATTCTTCCTTTTAATTATTATGTATGTAATTATTCCTGGTTGTTGAATTCAAGCCTAAAGAAAAGAATATTTAATAGAGACAAACTGTTCAATAGTGACCTTTGGAAGTGTGATAACTTTCACACAGCCCATGGAGAATCCCAGTTAATCTCCTTGTGGAGCTTGTTGCATTGAGTTCTCTTGGTGACAATGGCCTTCCCAACTGGAACTCATTATTTGAGTTCATTTTTAACCTAAGTTAATCTCTAATATCAAGGTGTTAGAAAGAGGAAAACAAGGCTTAATAGTGCCACTATTGACAGTTTCCAACTGAATCAAATACTCTCAGCTCAAATGAAGAACGTAGGAATTGAGAATTGTTTTTCTCACACCTAAAGATCTGAAAAACTTTGAAATACATCTGAAAGAAAGGGGGAAATATTCTAACATCTAATGTTCTTCCAGAAACAATTTTTGATTATTTCTTTTGAAGTCATTTTGAGTCACCTGACAAGGCTCCAACAAGCAGGCATTTATAGAGCTGTCTGTTAACCTCCTAATCATTCCCAGCTCAAGAAAAGACAACACGCTGTTCATCTTCACACAGGCAAATGTCAATGACAGGAATTGTTGAGTGATATGGTGAAAGAAGGATGCTGTGACTGCAGAGAAACTCAGCTGGTCTGGCAGCATTGAGGAGAGAGAAACAGAGTTAATGTTTCGAGCCTGGTAAGGCCTCTTCAGAACTGAATTACTTCATAAGGGTGCTATTTAGCCAATCAAGAAGACTGCACCTTTGAAAATGCAACACGCCCTGAGAGTGTTACCTTAGAATTTAGATTGAAATCATCGGAGCTGATTCGCTGATTCAGAGGCAAGACAGCAATCCACTGAGCTACAGCTCTGAATGAAGAGTAGATTCATCACCCTCTTTATTAATACTTATATCTTTCCACTACTTCACTCTTTGCCTAATGCATGCAACTGTGTAAAATAAAATATAACCAAACTGTCAAGATTTCAATCAGCACAACAATCTTGCACACAGGAAATCAACATGTCTGATGGATTATTGTATTAAATTCTGAAAAAAGAAACACTCAATTTCAGTTCTGTGCTGTAATTCAATACTCATTAGGGGCGCCATTACAGAACAGTATTATCCTGTACGATATGATGGGCAGTTCCTAATATCAAGGCACCTGCATGTTGCTGTGTCTCCCACAGAGCTTAATGACATAACAGTGTGTATAGAGCTTTCTGCCTACATTGGAAAATCAATTTTTAAACAGAAGTTGCAACAGAGAATGTCAGTATACTTATAGTTGGATTGGCACCTCAAGCTTACATTAATGCTTTGTGCAGCAAAATACCTTGGAATCTATTTTGCTGCTAATGTGCTTGTACTGTGTTAGCATAAATCACTCAATTGTACGACTCCCATTCCTATAGTATTCATTCTTCACTTAAATATGCATTGAAAGAAACATGTATGTGCTGATTAACTGGGCCACTAATAAAGGTCCCCAATAACTGAAACATCTATTTTCTGAAGAAGGGTCTAGGCCCGAAACGTCAGCCTTCCTGCTCCTCTGATGCTGCTTGGCCTGCTGTGTTCATCCAGCTCTATACCTTGTATATCTCATCTGTTTCACATGTAGGAGTCTGAAGCCCATGCAGAGAGAGAGAGAAACTGAGTAAGTACAAAAATGGTTGCATTAAACAGGTAAATAGGAAGGTAGCCAGATACTTGACAAATTGTTTTCAGGGACTGTTTCCAGTTACTTTTGTTGATTTAAAAAAAAAGTCCTTTCACCTTTCCCAGGATTTCAGATGGAATGTACGTCCCACCTTGTTTGCATTGAACTCTACCCACTTGGCACTCTACCTAATCCACTTAGAATCATAGAATACATAGAAAGAGGCAGTTCGGCCCATCCAGTCTGCACCCACCCTCTGAATAACATCCCACCCAGACCCAGTCTCCCAGCCTATTCCCGTAACTTTGCACTTACATGGCTAACCCATCTATCTGCACATCTCTGGACACTACTGGGCAACTTAGCATGGCCAATCCACCTAAGCTGCACAGCTTTGGACTGTTTGAGGAAATGCTCTCAGACACAGGCAGACCATGCAAAAGCTGGACAGACAGTCACCTGAGGTTGGAATTGAATCCAAGTATCTGGCATTGCGAGGTAGCAGTGCTAACTACTGAGCCACCAACCACCCATTTGGAACCCTTCCCACCTGGCATCATACCCTGGGCACTGTAATCCCTATCCACCTGTTGACAGCAAATCTGTAGATGGCGTTCGTACGGAATTTGGTTACACAGTCGTGGTGTACAGAGAGTTGAGAATGCATCCTTGCGGGACACCAGTATTGAGGATTATCATGGAGGAGGTGCAGTTGTCTATCTTCACTGATTGTGGTCTGTGGGTCAGGAAGCCTCACACTTACCTTACACACTTACCCTTTGACAGGCAGCTGTCTGATCATTTACATCACAGAAGACGGCAGCTGACTGCTGTGAGAAAGGAGATGTGGTCTGCCTTCATTCCTAAGGTCTGAGAAAGGGACTTGTCAGAATGGAAGTACAGCTCTGCATTTGCTGATTGAGCCCTGATTGGAATCTACTGTCAGAATACAGACCTCTTTTGTGACGTAAGAAAGAAGAAACAGAGTGGCAATATGCCACTGCTTGGAAAATCTGCCCCAGAAAGATGCATCTCCTGGCTGATGAGTCTATAACCAGGGGACAGAGTCTCAGGACAAAGAATAGGTCATTTAAGATGGAGATGTGGAGCAAAGTACCCTCTAAGAGGGTGATGAACCTTTGGAGTTCTTCACCCCACAGCGTTGGGGAAGTTCAATAATTGGCTCGATGTCTAATTTTGTATACAGCACATCTGTTAAACACCTTGAGAACACTTATTACATTAAAGATGCTATATATATTTGGTATAGTGTTCTGGCTTAGACTGGTTAGTTTTGTGCGTATTCTACTCCCTCTGGATAAACTGAGAAGAAAAATTTTGAGACATTGCACATTGACCAAGAATGAGACATATATCAGCCCTTACTGCACTTTTGAGTTGGCATCAGTTTTTTGAATTTAGTAAGATAAAATTACAATTGGCCAGGTTTTACTATCAAAACAATGGCAACGCTATTGGTGTCCACAGAATCACAGAATTATTATGGCACAGAAGGAGGTCATTCACCCCACCATGCCTGAACTGGTTCCATAACCTACTGCCAATCTCCTGGCCTTTCCCCTATCCCTACACACTATTACTTTCCAAATTATTGTCCAATGTCCTCTTGGATGCCTCTGTTGAACTTGCCTCCAGTACATTTCCAGGCATTGCACTCCATACCTTAACTACTCGCTGTGTGAAAAAGTTGTTTCTCACATCATCCTTGCTTCTCCTGCACATCACTTTAAATT